TACGTTATTGGTGGGAACATGGCAACGTTGCCATGTTCCCACCAATAACGTAGCTCCATTTTCTGCCTTTAAAAGCACACACAACCCACAATTCCTCTATTCGCTCCGACGAAGGGCTAACGCTCAAAACGTCAGCTTTTGTAATCGTTACGGTGGCCAATTTACCATTTCAACTTTGTTGATATATCCAAATTACAGGATTTTTTAGTCTGTTTGATATTTCATTGATCCAGTACTGAGCTGACTTGTAAAAAAGTTGCAATTGTCGTCTCTCAGTTCCCTGCAATTTGATTGGTTACTTTAAACAAGCCTTGAATTCTCGCTTGCTGGGAAAAAGATGCGATTTAGAACAAAAAAATTGGTGCGATTCACCAGTGAGAGAGCCAATCAGATCACAAGGATCACCAGTGATTTCAAAATGCATAGATGTAATAAATGATAAAATGACCTGGTATGCTCCCCTTCCGTTGTCGTTGTGTTTTCAACGGCGCGTTTGTAGAAACTTGGCGTCAACGACATAATCTTTAAGAAAGACTGCTGTGCAAGAAATAAGAATCACTTCTTTATAATAGGTCGGAGATAATGGCGAACAGATGAATGTAAAGATTTATTTTCAGTACAATAGATATATAATAAAACAAGGTATGATAATGAATAAATAGGTTATATTTTCGTTTAGGTGGAACTAAGATACGAATTTGATTTAGGCGAGGAAGAACCCGTTATATGCATTTGGTTTAAAATTGTTTTATACTTAAGCTGACGAAATTTCGTGGTCCGCCGTACCCTTGGAAATGTAAAGAGAACGTAAAAGGTTTCGCTTCTACTTTGATCTTAATGAGCAGCCTAGCCCTGTCATTTATGCCTGCCGGGTGCAAAAGAAAAGTTGCGGCGAGAAATCTAGAAAGAGGAGCCTCTCTCTGTCCGGATTTACCGCTCTACACACCCTGTCTTCCCGAAGTCCTTTTTCGCTCGCTCACGTTTTACTTCTGATCCTATCAGTAGATATCTTAAAAGTTGCTTACGTCTTGGTTGAAAGTCGTTTCGTGCAATGTGCACTTAGTCAGCTACGACGTATTCTTAATAAATGAGAAATTACGCGTCAATGTTACATGGTAACTAGTGGCACGATTTTCAGATGACTGTTCAAAGTGGCAAAGACATATGTCGATTTCAACAATTCAGCCAGAACGCTTCTGATCAGTGCAGAAAATGAAGCCATGACAATTTAAGGTGAACAGTATCTTTCGCTCTTCGCTGTGTGTGCTATCTGTCACGCCAGACCACGTCTTTCCCGTCAAGTGTAACGGTGCGTGACACAGAGAAGGTCCGATAACTAAAGCCCGGCTCAAACGTAATATATCTCTACTTTGGCTTTCAAACAGTCGGATCAAAATCATTATGTCATCAAAAATTAAATTCCAAAAAGCACGATTAAGAACTCGATTATTCCAAAAGTGTCTTTACCCTTTGGTTCAATATCGTAACCCCATTCCACACTCTAACTGTTACATTGTTAACAAAAAGAAACAAAGAAGAACATTCTGACTGCATCTGAATTAGAAAAAGTACGTTAAACTTGTGTACTTGTGGAGGTGCTTAGTTCCTAAAATCCTCCCTCAGCTTCCCTTGCGGGAGTCTTGTTTAATTTGGCATACGCTACTCGTGCGCAAAGAAATACCTTTAGTTAGTTCCTCCTATCGCCTTAAAATGCAGTCTGACTTCATGATTTTTGTTTTCTTTCGATTGCATTAAAAATAAAAAAATCGTATGTAAGAATACAGAACTGTCCGTAAAGGATGATAGAATTATGTTGACGTCCTTAAATGTCTATCTTCGTCTGACCCGCTTCCTTCAGCCTTATTACGATCATCATCATCGTCATCATCATCATCGTCGTCGTCGTCGTCGTCATCATCATTTCTTCTGGGATCTTCCCTATTTTCTTTGGCATTAGGGTCTCTACAAGCGCATGATTCTAATGGTTCGCACAAAGGCGAAATGCGAACCATCCTGTCACTGGTAGTTGATTGACAGCAGTCTCCATCATCCCAGCGACAGTGTGCATTATTGTTCTGCGAATCACACCAACCGTCTTTCATGTACCTCTTACGACAACTGGGAACACATCGCAAGCTCGAGGGATCTGGAGACCAGTCGAGTTTCCTGGTGCATAGTAAGGACACGTGCCAGTTACCTTCGTCACCCTGCGAAATGAAAAATTGGGTGTTATCCTGGCGTTTTCTTACAGTACATATTGATGGACAGGGGGTCCACTATCTTTCCATTTAAAACAGCAACCTTCACAATAGCGTTTCCGGCAAACACTATTTACCCCGCATCTTCCACAAATATTAATGCTACTGGGACCAGGTGTCGTCCAATTTGGTCTGTTATCAAACGAGTGATTGACAAAATCGGACGACAGCGAAGCGGAAGTCCGATTTTCCCCTCACGATTAGACAGTTGGACGCACGCAGTCATGTTAACAGTAAGTCGACACTGCTAACAAAATTTTAGCAACAAACTGGCCATCGAATACACGTTTTCATTAAATGAAAACAACAGTTACAGTAACTCGGCAAAAGGCATGACAACTGCTCGTGCACTAACGCATAGACTTATATTGCTTAGAGCTTTCTGGATCTGATTGTTTAACTCTAGCCTAGAACATGAAAAAGGTACGGAAGGAACGATCAGCCAAAGTGTAGCATACAAATGAAAAGCGTTAAACTGTGAAATTAAATTCTTACAATTTTCACAACATCATCCGTGGAAGTTTTGCAGCTAGGCTTGCATGAGCTTCCAGGGAAGTTATCATCGCAATGAAAGACGATCCCCTCTGCTTCGGGCTTGGAACACTGGCCAGCTGTAATACAACGCTTCAGAGGTTCACTCCACTTTCCAGTTTCTTCACACTTGACTTGGTGAACCTGAACATAGGATTGTCCAAAGAAAGTGAGATTAAATTTCATATTTAGCAAGAGTGTATATATCGACATAAGGGCATTCACATTTTATCATCTTTGCAAGGTTAGGAAATTTATATCTACTTCAACCCCAGTTTCCATTTCCATCTCATTTTCATCTCGACAAGGAGTTTTTCAGGGGTCGTTTCGGCCACAACTGACCAAGTTGGACAGTTTACAATCTCGAGCCCAAGGTCATTTTGGTGCCTTGTCAGGGGTATAGTCCCCAGGACAACAGAGGCTGGATTCAAATCCGAATGCAAACGTGAATGTGAAAGAATAGATAAAATTTTATTTTTCGGAATAACCATTTGCGCCATAAAGTGTCGAAAGATTCCTCTGCTGTTATAATCAGATGGGAAAAATATGTTGACAGTTTTTTTAAGATAAAAGTGCTGCCCACCTCTTGTCCTGGACAAAAACTCCTGCAAACACTTCCCATGGAGTTATCATTGGAACAATTATACCACATGGCAAAAACAGGGATGGATGGACACATGATAGGCTCGCATACAGGCTGTGTCCACTGACCACTCTTAGTACAGCGCATCTTGAAGATCTTTCTCTCGTCTCTCTCTTTCACCCTATAGCCAGGCTTACACTGATATTTACAGGATGTGCCTGGAAGTAGAGTTCTTTTGCTTTCAGAGCAGTCGTTATGGAGAGGAAAGCTGTTTGCAGGAGTTTCAGGGTGGGGACACGTCATGACACAGTGCGCTGTTTGCGCGGACCATTTTCCGTCTTCTTCGCACGTCACGCTTCCTTCTCCTCGGCTCATTTTAGTCCGCGGTGCGCACTTTATGGAGCATTTCTTACCAAACGTTTGACCGTGAGGGCAGTCTAAGAGCAAATAGGTATACTGATGTTAAAGTCGCTATAGGAGCAAAGCGTAAAGGAGTGTGGCCAATATAACGTTATTGTCCTTATGGAAAACCTCCACCGACGACCTAAAGGTTAAGCTGAATATTAGAGTTTGGTGTCAAATAAGGAAGACATCCTGTCATGAACACTGTATGTATTTTTCGTCAAGACTTGTTGACGTTACCAAAGGCAGCAAAGAAAGCAAAAGAAGCTAAATGATAACGAAAATTAATTTTCTGTCAGACGCTAAGCTCCACGAGATGAACGACTGAGCTCAGTTCTGACCACTTTAAAAATAAATACGATAATCTCATTACCACCTTATTCCCAGGCCCTCTCTTTCCTTTAGGAACGAGAGAACCTTGGGACAGAGCTCACACCATCGACATTTTAACCTAATAAAGTAAGAGTTTTCATCACTAACCCGCCTTTCCGTTAGGAATTCTTGGCACGCCACAGTTGACAGGCACACAAGCCGTATTGATCCCTTCCCATTTCTTATTCAAACAAATCATCTTGAAAGGTTTGGAAGGTCGGTACCCCGGCTTACAAGTCACTGTACAAGTCTGCCCCTCAACAGTCCCCTCACATACGACGTTGCCATGTTTGACCACAGGTTTTTGACCACAAGATGGCCTCTCACAGTCGTATTTGTGACAGTGTTGTGTATGGGGACTAAAAACCTCGTCCGATTTGCATCTTGTCATCTCTACTACATCGAACTGCGATCTAGAGCGCAGGGCTACGGCAGCTATACTAATGAAAGGAGACGTGAAGCTGATATTCACCCTCCGGACGTAAAAGAATGGCTCTGTCATGTCATGATAAACTGGGATGACTGCTGGATTCGTCTTACATGAAATGTTCGTTTTCTGGTTTCCCGCGGACATGACACGACCATTCGTGTCCACCAGCTCAACTTTGACAACTTTGACATTGTCATTAAAATCATATTCTGCTTTCCCTTCGGAGCCGAGGTAAAGCACTATTGCAGCAGGCACGACCGAACGGTTGAAGGTGACCTCCAGCCAGTAGTTACCATCCCTGAAGAGGGTGTCCATTCCCTTGCAAGGACCCCACGCGAATTGATACTCTTCGTTAAAACTGCCATGACAAACCTGTGCAAGGATATAATAATTTCAATCAGACTTCGCACGAAACAAAGTAGCTCATCGACTTACAATTTCGAAATCTTTAAATTGGTTGTGAATAAGAGACATTTCTCTACTTTTCTTCAAGTTTCTGCAAATAAACAAAATCTAAATTGCCATAAAAGTAACTCAGACTGTAAGCTCATTCTGCTCCCAAATTCTCCAAGCTGGGAATTTCAGATATTTTCCTAATCACCACATCAGTCATGTTTTATTATCAAAATAACCCTTTGCCCCATTGCTTCTCAATCTTATTTTTGTTAAAAAAAAAAAGCCAAATTCACTGTTGTGGCACCAGAACAGCCTGTACCTATTAATGGTAATAATTCTCTACCAACATCATTTAAATTTAGAACTTTCTTCTTGTACCAGTCACTCGTTGGTGAAGTCTTCTTAGCTTTAAGACGAAAATGCTAGGGCTTTCCCTAAAAATAATCATTGAATTGACCGAGCCGCACATTTGCAGTACTTTTTTTTTTTAAAAAATATATTGTTGTAAGGGAGATGGCCTCTCCCTTAAGCTCGTTAGTTTCTTGAGGTCTCCTCGCCTTATTATTATCATGATGATGTAAATTTATTTATCGTTAGCGTTAAAAAGAAATGATAACCGATCTATTTGATGTTATAATTCAATACCAGGTCAAAAGGCGGTGGTCCCAACACGACGCTTTCTGGGGGGCATCTACTCTCACGGTAAGTGGGGTTTACTGTCACGGACGCAGCCCATTGATCTTCAAACCCTTCAGGAGTGTAAAACCCACAATCCTTGATGCTTGTTTTTTTCTCAAAGTCTTCACAGGTTCCGTCTCCATCATGGCGATAGCACAAACTTGGATGACCTGGAAAAATTCAAATTTCTCAGTTTCAAACATCACCCATGGATTACGGAAGGTTCGAAAAATTTTCATTGATCTTCAATTATCATTTCTTGTAACCACCAAATCGATTAGAGAGGGCGTGGTGTTGTTGTTACACATAATTAAGCACCAAATTAATATATAGATTTAGCCAAGCCTAAAAGCGGAGCTCTCAAGTTCGTAATATTAATGATAACATAAAAGATGTGCATTTGCCAAGACTCGCCTGAGACACCCCTTCCTTCGTTTTGATAGTCTCCCCTACCCTACCCGTGCAATCTGAGGGCACGTACGTACGCTCGGTCAGTCACGTGACAACCAAACGAAAAGAGGTTGACCATATTCCACGGGTATGGGGCTCTGCCCCACGCGCGCGAAACGCGCGTGGGAGTCCCGCTATGAATCTAATGTCTTAAGGTGGCACCAGTTTCCTCGCGCGGGGAACAGGTCACTCTGCGTGACGCGCGCGATAGAGAAACGTGCGAAAGAAGCGCGAAATCAAAAGATGAAATTCAAAACAAAGATGAAGGCGCGTGGAATTTTTTCTACTTTTGTGAGAAGTTTACCTAAGAGCTTGTATTTGATGTGTTGAGCGACTACTATGAACGCAGGAGATAGAAACTAAGATAAAGAAGACGAGTTTTGGAGAAGTAAAGGTTGCTTCACTTCATATTTAAAAGAAATATTCAACCGATATGAAATCTTGCGACGGCGAAAAAAGAAGAACTCAAGTGAAGGATAATCTACCTGAAGTGGAAGAAGACTTTGAAACTTAAAGGAGAATAATATGATATAGCCAGAAGTCGTGTGTAGGATTTTTTAGATGAGCCCGGGAGGCAATCTTTGACAGCTGTTTAATGATTTTCTTAATTAGCAGTAAACGTCTCTAAACATCAGATCGTAGGCGCGCGCGCGAGCACACGCAATTGTCAGCGGTAGCTATAACAGATCATGAGCAAATGTCGATCTTATAGAATCCAGATTTTTAAATGCGCGAGAACGCGCGTGGAAATTGCTAAACTCACGAAAGCTATTGCATGAAAACAAGTCCGGTGACCCCTTCTTTTTATTGTTCCAATATGATAATAACGTCGAAAGGAATCATCAGAAAAAAAA